AGGCCGGCCTTGCCCGAACAGCCGGATCCGGAGCAGGAAGTTTCGGTATTTCCTCTTTCTGTGGTCGTGGTTGGAAGGAGGCAGACTGCCGTTTCTGATGAGGGCAGTACCGCCTGATGTGTCCAAATTCGTGGCACCCATAGCACTCCACCTGGGCACGCGCACCTGGTGTGTACACGGCCCAGGCAGCCGATTTGGGTTCCTCGGCAGGGGTTGGAGGAGGCTGGGCTACCGACCTCACATCCCTAGCCATCGGTTTCCCTTTTCTGTTTTGCGCTTGCGACTCGAGAAATGCTTCCATTTCGGTCGCCAAAGTGACTGCCTCGATCAAAGTCGTCGCTTTCCTGGAGAAGATGTGACGCTGCAGCTGTTCCTCTCGCAGGGCATTGCGGAAAGCCTCGACCGCCAAATCCTCACGGGCCTGTGTGGGCAGCTTCGGGTAGCTCTTCAACACCAACCGTCGGATGGATTGTCCTAGGCTACTGAGTGACTCGTCTCGGCCCCTCGTACGCATAGACAACTGAGCCCGATGTAGCGGAATCTGTGCTGTCAATCCCGAACTGCTGCTCGAAGTTTTCCAAAATGGAGGAATATTCCTTCCGCGTTTCCGGTACCATATCCGCCAATGCCTACTGAGCCGTGCCCTTTAGGTGAGATGCAAGGAACATGGCTTTCTTCGCCTCGCCCCACTGATTGACTGCTGCAACGCTCTCGAAATGGATCAAATAATTCGACCATGACGAGATCCCGTCAAACTTGTTGGGGAGCATCAGTGGTCTCCGACCCCCTTGCCTGAAGTGATCAGGCATTGTAGTCCCCCGCTTGACTGGCACTTGGGGAGCGCCCCCCGACTGTTTAGGGGCCGCCTAAACATTGGCAGAAACCGGGTCGCCCCCTCCCCCTGGGAGCACCTGGTGGTGACGTCCAAGGGGATCTCCCAATTGCAGTGGTGTACGGCCGAGTAGCCGGGTCGGTTCCGCTCTGTTGGATTGTGTGCGGAGGAACCGTGCCGGCTCCGCCCCATTGGCTTGTGTGCGGAGCAACTCTGCCCCATTGACTCCCGTGCGGAGCAACCTTGCCGGCTCCGAGCCATAGACGTCCGTGCGGAGCGACCCTGCCGGCTCCGCCCCATTGACTCGTGTGCAGAGCAACTCCACGGGTTCCACTCCATTGACTCGTGTGCGGAGCAATTCTGTCGGCTCCGCCCCATAAACTCCCGTGCGGAGCAACCTCGTCGGCTCCGCTCCATTGACTTGTGTGCGGAGCAGCTCTGCCCCATTGACTCCCGTGCGGAGCAACCTTGCCGGCTCCGCGCCATACACGTCCGTGCGGAGCAACTCTGTCGGCTCCGCCCCATTGACTCGTGTGCAGAGCAACTCTACGGGTTCCACTCCATTGACTTGTGTGCGGAGCAACTCTGTCGGCTCCGCCCCATAAACTCCCGTGCGGAGCAACCTCGTCGGCTCCGCACCATTGACTTGTGTGCGTTGCAACTCTACGGGCTCCCGTCCGTTGACTCGTGTGCGGAGCAACTCCACGGGTTCCACTCCATTGACTCGTGTGCGGAACAACTTTGTCGGCTCCGCCCCATAAACTCCCGTGCGGAGCAACTCTGTCGGCTCCGCCCCATAGACTCCCGTGCAGAGCAAGTCCACCGGCTCCGTCCCATAGAGTCGTGCAGTTCGGGCCTGCTCCGAGTGGATGTCAGGACTCGCCGTATTGCGATAGTGGGGACGAAAGTACTGCTGGGGGGATCTGCGCCCGGTTGTGCCCCCTGATGCGTGCTCGGACGGTTTCCCGCCCCCGCTAAATGGGCAAATCCAGCCTGGGGGTGCCCCGAATGGTAGGCCTCACCAGTCGTATCCATGTAAGCACCAAGTGGCGCTTCCATGTAGGGCCTAGCACTATTTTCATGAGCGTAGGGATTGCGGGTTGCCCCAGGACGAAACCCCGCCCCCGCTGCATCAACCAGCTCGGGATCGTTCCGAATGGCGCCAGCGCCAGCGTCCGAATGGCGCCTGCGCCAGCGTCTACTGCACGGGGCGGTCCCTCGTGGGACCTGGCATATACTGTGTTGTTACAGAATATCTGGGGTATATCCCGACGAAGCTCCACCCCCGCTGCATCGACCAGCACAACTCGGGATCGTTCCGATTGGAACGAACCGTCTGCTGCGCTGCCGTCTACAGCACGGGGCGGCCCCTCGTGGGACAGGGTACCAGTCATTGATGATTTATGGTAATGAGCACACCCGCCCCCCCCCCCCCGCAGGGGTAGACGTATTGCAATGACTTAACCCCCCGCCCAAGTCCCGAAATTCCACTTTACCATCCCCCACATCCTCCCTCATGAGAAAATCCGTCCCCAGAAACCCCATTGTTTCCCCTTTCCTCCCACCAAAATTCCCGGCCGGCCACCAGGGGCTCCACTGCGCGGCTCCACCGTGGAACCGCGCTGGTGCCCTCTGGCGGCCGACGGGCATGGACACCACAATATTTATTCTTCTTCTTCATTCATTCATTCATTTTCATGATGACTTGATAAGTTGGGCCCAACTGTCCCTGTCGAGCATAGTGTTGGAAAGAGATGGACCACTCAGACCAGTTTCTAGCTCGATGGATGTTTTCAGGGTCATGTTGGGACGACCTTTTCGTCGAGGGGCTTCAGGATTCCAGAGGAGAACTTGACTAGCTGGCTCATTATGTCGATAAACGTGACCGGCTAACCGAAGGCGACGCTGTCTGATGGTGGTGGAGATAGGGGGAAGGGCACCATACAAACCAGAGTTAGGGAGATGTTGTTGCCAAGAAACGTTCTGAACAGCCCGCAACATCCGTGTATAGGTGCCATCAATGGACGCAGAGATCTGTTTGGTCAGGGTCCAGGACTCGCAACCATAGAGGAGGATGGATTCTACTGAGGTCTTGAAGATCTTAAGTTTGGTGGTCTTGGAGATCGAGGATCTCCATACTTTGGTCAGTGAGAACAGAGCAGACCGAGCTTGAGCTTTTCTACACTCGATGTCATGAGCTGTGTTGGTGTAGGAGCCCAGATACTTGAAGTCATCAACTTTATCGAGCTTACTGCCATCTAGTGCAGTGACGTCATCAGAGGTAGATGGGTTGATGGCCATGTACATGTACTTAGTCTTCTTTGCGTTAACAAAGAGACCAACGGACTTGCAGCAAGCTCCTACTTTTTGGAGGAGAGATTCGGCATCAAGGAGGGTGTCTGCAAGCAGACTAATGTCATCTGCATAATCTAGGTCGGATAGATATTGGGCAGGGTGTCTACTACTCCTACGGCGTGAGAGGGTGAGACAATCGGTTACACTTAATGCTGTACGCAGGGCATAATCCAGAACTATGATGAATAGGTACAGGGCGAGAGGATCACCTTGAAGAACTCCAGTGTTGACGGAGAACGAATCTGATTCACCTTCGGGAGTGAGAACAACAGCACTTGTATCTTCATACAAAATTTTGATGGCATTAGTGGTCTCCTCCGGGATACCGTAAGCATGCAGGATCTTAAACATTATTGGTCTGTCAACAGAGTCAAATGCTTTACAGAAATCGATGAAAATGATGGCAGCTTCCTTCTGGTGGTTACGAATTTCCTCAATAACGCGCCTGAGGGCAAGGATTTGAGATGAGGTTGAACGTAGAGGCCGAAAGCCACTTTGATTGGGACGGAGTATCTTCTCAACTTCCGGACGAATGCGATTCAGAAGTAGTCGATTGTATACCTTGGCAGCAGTTTGAGAGAGGCTGATTCCCCGGTAGTTGTCTGGGATGGTGAGGTCCCCTTTCTTTGGAACTGGGACGATGCCGGAAAAGTCCCATTCTGGAGGGCGGTTGCCTTTGGGTTGGATTGCAGAACCTTGTGAGATATTTCTTAAGTTTAGGAAGCCTCCAAACTTCAATAGGTATGTTGTCCAGACCAGGAGCCTTGCCAAGCTTCTTTTGTTTAATGGATATGTTGACCTCGGCTTGGGAGAATTTGCCAGTTGGGATGTTAGGGTTTGGATCAAAGACGGGATCAATGGAGACTGGGTCATTGGAGGCATTATCAGAGCTGAGAAGCTTCTCAAAATGGGATTTCCAAGAGGCAAGTCGATCATCACCTTGAATGAAAACGGTGTTTGGACGTTTACCAGAGAGCTGTTTTACCAGTTTCCAGGCATTTTGGATGGAGTTGGTCGATTCCCACTCGTCAAAAGCACTGAGGATGTTGTTGACTCTGAGGTCTTCTTGCTCGTCATACACACTACTGAGGTTGGATTGAGCAGCAGGAAGATTGGTTGGTAAGGAGGTGAGTACCTTTGTTCGAGCTACATTGACTGGTGTCGATGATGCAATGCTAGGTGGTCGTTTGGTTTGTGATGGAAGGAGAGACTTCCCAACACTCTCACACACTTTGACGAAGGAGCCATAAGATTGGTCGTCAGGGCACAATGAGGACTACTCATGGGTGATACGGTCCTCAATAGAAGATGCAAGCTCTCTATCTGAAGCCTTTGCAGACCAGTTCAGTCTAGGACGGGCAGTAGGTTTTGTGGAACTGTTCTAAAGACGGCAGGACTCAAGTGTAGCATTCACTGAGAGACGTTTATTAACAGCCCGTAATAACATCATAGAATATGGATACGGTGGCCGCGTAATGCCACTCCATAACACCCCCTTTCCTTAAGATAAGGAACAGTCTTTTGTTGTTGCTGAACTTTCACTTGAGACTGAGTGTAAACTGTGGTCTGTTACAGTGGTGATCACAAACGCTAAACTCTTGTGAATAACTCAGCAAACATTATGAACGCTTTAACACTAGAACGTATTTGGAACAGCTCTAAACCTTTAACACTACTTAGTAATAAGGTTAGTTTAAGAACAACTTTAGTAAAAGCAACTTTAACCAATAAACTGCATGCAAGCGTAGTCTATTTAAACCAAGTGTTGGCCTATGGCCCTAAGGCTTTGTGGGTGAGTGTCCCAAAGTCAGATTTATGACTCGATAAGTCTCTTTGGTGGTCTGGAAATGCGACCGGATCTGGTAATGGTAGCGTTGGTGTTCAGTCCTGGAGGTTTGTCTGTCGGAGCGGAAGGCACTTCTTGTGCCTTAGCGACCGGAATGGCGGCACTCGAGTTGGGTGGCTCGGTGCTAGCTGGTTGCTGCATGAGCTGAGGTTCACTCACGCATGTGACTGGTGTTGTAGGTTGTTTAGCGTTTTCCCGACTGTCTCTGAGGTGAACGCGGTTGCGTCTGTAGCATTTGCTACCGACTTCTACGATGTAGCTGCGTGGCGCAACTTTGGCTTTTATCACTCCCGGGGTCCATGGGGAGCTTTCAACCTTGGGTCGAGTTTTGGCGCGAACTGGCTGTCCGACAACCAGATCAGGGAGGCTTTCGGCAGTGCGGTCGTGATACAGTTTAGCTGTCTGTCTTTTGGTCACGACTTGCTCGGTGACGGCCTCTACAACCTGGGGCTTGTACAGTGAGCTCTTGCAAGGGAGGAATGAGCGCGTTCGTCGAGACATTAAGCGCTGTGCCGGAGAGCTGGACATTCCCGGAGTGGTGGTGTTCCTCCATTCAAGGATAGCCTTCCACACTTCACTTTTGTCTTTGGCAGCTTTGGTCACAAGTCCCTTGGCGATTTTGACCGCGGACTCTGCTTTTCCGTTGGATTTGGAGTGGTAGGGGCTTGAGGTAGTGTGTTCAATGTCCCAGTCATTCGCGAACTGTTTGAACTCGCGTGACACGTAGTTTGATCCGTTGTCTGTGATCAAGGTGTGAGGAATGCCGTGGGTGGCAAACACTGGCTTCAGTTCCTTGATTAGCGATTTGGAAGTCATGTCTTCCAGGGCGCGCAAGTCGATGTAGTCTGAGTAGAGGTCTACTAGTACGCAGTACTTTTGTCCATTGACCTCAAAACAGTCACTCGCGACTAGTTGCCACGGTTTCTTGGGTACTGGGTGTGTCATGAGGGGTTCCTTTGGGAGAGCTGGTTGTGACTCCTGGCAGATTGCGCAGCGTTGGACTGCCTCCACCAGTTCTGTGTGCATACGTGGCCAGTACATTATGTCTCGTGCAGTGTTGGTGGTGTACTGTACGCCCATGTGAGATGCATGTGCCCTTGCTGTCATGTCTGTACGGAGAGCTGTTGGGATTACAATACGCGTTCCGCGAAAGATGAGCCCATTTTGTGTTGACAGCTCATCTCTGTATGGTCAGTATTCCCTGATACACAAGGGAACTTGAGCCTTGTCCCCTGGCCAGCCTGCTTGGATGACCTGCATCAGCGTTTGTAGGATTTGGTCAGCGAGCATTGCCTTTTTGACTCTCTGCAGACGCTCGTCTGTGACGAAGATGGTTGGTTCCATGTTCTCCAACTCCATGTTGAGCTTCTGCTCCTGAGTGACGGAGAAGATCAGAGAGTCTGGTGTCTGATCTGTGACTTGTCGTGTTGGCAACAATGCTCGCGACAGTGTATCGCTCAAGTACATTCGCAAACCCTGCTTGTACTCTACGTGTAGTGAGTACATCTGTAGGCGGAGTCGCATACGTCGTAGACGGGCTCACCAAGATTGGCTTTCTGAAGATGTTCATCAGAGGTTTGTGGTCGGTGAGCACGAGCACTTTGTCGCGGCCTAGGATGTATTGCTCAAAGCGCTGTGTGGCGAATACGATGGCCAAACACTCTTTTTCTATTAGAGCATAGTTGCGTTCTGTGGCAGAAAGTGCTCGTGATGCGTACGCGACTGGGCGGCCATTTTGTGTGATGACGGCTCCTAGCCCAACCTCGGAGCTATCACACTCGATCGCAATGTCTTGGTTGACATCATAGTAGCTCAGCACTGGTGCTTTAGTGATGAGCTTCTTGATCTTGTCCAGGGCCTCGTCATGATGTGTCAACCAGTCAAATATGACGTCCTTGTCGGTGAGACGTCTGAGTGGCTCGCATATTGTGCTCAGTTCTGGCAAGAATTTAGCCAGATAGGTTACCACTCCGATGAGTCTCAGCACTCCCTGGACGTCTGTAGGGCGAGGCATGTCGAGTATGGCCTGGTTTTTTTCCGGGTCTGGAGATAGTCCGTCTGAGCTGAAGACGTGTCTCATGTATGTGACACTGGGTAGCTTGTACCGTAGCTTGGCTGCGTTCAGCTTCAGATTCCGCTCTCTGCATCTCGAGAGAAGAGCGGTGAATGCAGCGTCGAATGAGGCTTCTGCTTCAGCCTGTGTTTCTCCTGAGCCGTAGACGAAGATGTCATCTGCAATCACTGCGATGTTTTCCAGGCCTTCCAGGCACTCATGGAGCCTGCGCTGGAATTCTTCCGGTGCTGATGAGATACCAAAGGGCATCCTCAACCAGCGGTAACGCCCATAAGGCGTCCAAAAGGTTGTCAGATAACTGGAGGGCTCATCAAGGACGACTTGAAGAAAACCGTCCTTGGCATCTACCACCGAGAAGAGCTTGGCGTTTTTCAGTCTCGGGGCTACTTCGTCTACGGTGGGAATGGGGTAATAGTTGCGCTTAATGGCCTTGTTCAGGCCGTGTGGATCCAAGCATACCCTGATTTTGTTTGGCTTTCTGACGACTACCATGTTGTGGATCCACTTGGTAGGCTCGGTCACCCGGGCAATGGTGCCTTGGGCTGTCATGCTGTCTAGCTTTCGTTTCAGCTCTGCCCGCACCGGGATCGGTACTCTGCGCCTGGTGTTCTGCGTTGGAGTGACACTGTGATCAATGTCTATGTGGTAGTGACCTGGTAGCCGACCAAGGCCAGTGAATACGTCTTTGTACTCACTGAGGACCTGTTCCTTGGTTTAAGTCGGTGACTCTGTCACTGCATGCACTAAGCACTCCTGTGCGAACTGCATTAGTCCCAGAGCTTCTGCTGCTTTACCTGACAGCAGAGATGAGGGGGCGTCCTCCACGATCTCGAAGTGGATTTTCCTGGTGACCCCTTTGATCTGGCATCTCAAGCCATCAAAGACAGTTTAGTCTTTGATGGCACCGGAGGCGTGTCACTGAGCTGCTTGTAGTCTGTCAGCTTCATGGTGCTGCACCAGAGTCTAGCTGAAATCTGATGGTCTTTGTCAGATCCCTTGTTGGCGTCTCCACTGCTAGCTCAACAGAGTATTGCTGCTTGGGCTTTGACTGCACTGTATAGATGCTTTCGTCGCTGCCACTTTCGTCTCCATCCATTTGGTGGAGTTTCTGTGTGGATTTCTGTGGCTGACGTTTGGTGCGGTCTTTGCCCGATGACTGGCAAACCTGCGCATAGTGGTTGCGTTTTTGTCACTTAGAGCAAGTTGTCCCGTAGGCTGGGCACGCACTTGCCTTTGCTGTGTGATTTGCCACAGTAGGCCTATTTGCAATTTAGTTCGGAGGCTTGCTGGTTTTGCCAGATTTCTGTGTCCGCTGCTTGTTTTTCACAAAGTGTGCTGTCTCTGCCTCTACCGGATCCATCTGCTGAAGATGGATCGCTGCCTGTTCACTGCTGCGGCATATGTCTATGGCTTTCTGCAATGTCAGTGACGACTCACGCAGCAGACGAGCACGGATGCTGTTGCCTACTACTCCTATGACCAGCCTGTCTCGGAGCATTTCATCGAGAAGCACTCCATAATTGCATGTGGTTGCCAACTTTCTCAGCCTGTTCAAGAAAGTGTCAATGTTCTCTTTGGGCTCTTGCTTACAGGAGTCAAACATGAATCGTTTGTACACCACATTGCGTTTAGGGTCAAAATGAGCTCCAAGGCTGGTTATGATTTGCTGTGGTGACTTTCTCTGTTCCTCTGTTAGTGGCAGATTTTCGTACACTTCATAGCACTCCTTCCCCATAACTGTGAGTAATGTAGCCACATGGATCTTTCTTATCCAGTTCTGTGGCCACTAGATAGTTCTGCCAACTTGCCTTGAAAAATTGCCAGTTGGAAATCTGGTCTCCTTTCATGTCCATTTTCGCCGGTGGGGGAATGAGCGAGTGCGCCATGGTTAATATGCAGTGCGTGCGTAATGTACACCGCGATGTGTCCGTTACAGGCCTCCGTAGTTTACAGCGAAACGCACGTTGACAACAATGGCGTGAACTCAACGTGCAATGTATACGTACATGTACAGTCTATCGTTCACAGTGTAATACGCACGTGTTCAATGGCGGGAACTCCGCGTGAAGTGTACAGTTTATCGTTCTTTTGCACAGCCTACCATGTGTGACAGGATCAGTCTGTGCTGCCGACGGATGCCTTGTGATCCGTTCACCAAGATTGCCGAAGATTTTGCCGGTTCTTTGCGGTAATGGCGCTGGATTCAGCTAATTTCTGACACCATGTTCTAACGACGGCAGGACTCAAGTGTAGCATTCACTGAGAGACGTTTATTAACAGCCCGTAATAACATCATAGAATATGGATACTGTGGCCGCGTAATGCCACTCCATAACAGGAACGAAGACTGAGCCTTATCTTAGCACAGACTATACGATGGTCGGAGCCAATTGGGTCAGATGTTGAATACGCTTGAGAATCTAGGATGCTGTTTCTCCAACGTTTACGGCACAGGATGAAGTCAATCTGTGACAGGTACTTGTTAGGTGAACGGTGAGTCCAGAGCTTTGTGGAGGACTTCTGAAATAGTGTGTTGGTAATCAGAAGGTTGTTACGATTGACAAAGTCACTGAGGAGCTGACCATTACGGTTGGTAGTAGAGTGGTAGGAGAACTGCCTTGCAACATGAGCGTTGAAGTCCCCTCCGATGACAAGGAGGGCATGTAGGGGAATGGAGGCAATGGTGTCATTGAGAAATTTGTAGAACCCAGTAATAGACGCCTCATCACTGGTGTTAGTGGGAGAGTAACAGGAGACAACGTATGTCTTGGGATTGCCTTTGAAGATGGCGAGCATAATTCTGTCGTTGATCTTAGAGATAGAAGTCAGCAGCGGGAGCAGTGATGTTTGAACAGTTATTGCTACACCACCAACGGCTGCACCTTGTCGATTCCGAGTTGCAGAAGAGGTGAAGATGGTTGATGATCCTAAACTAGAGATTCGGATATCAAGGTCTTCAGGTCGATGCACTTGACGGTGCTCTTGGATGCAGGTAACAGATAGGTTGTAGTCACATATGTGTTTATTAAGTTCCTCTCTTGATGACAGCGAATAGAGACTTCGACAATTAAACTGACCAAAAAGGATGGTTTTCCTAGGTCGAGCAAGACCCTTCCGGAGACTATTTTTATCAGACGATGCCCTCCCAAGAGGGTTTCGGACGCCGTCGCCATAAGACAGAGTGTCAATAGTTCCGCGAGAGGGCAGATTTGAAGCAGGGGCTTTATAACCCTGGTGCTGTAGGTTGAACTCATCATGTTTTCTATTATTATAATATTAGTTTTCTTTGGTAAACAAATACAGAAGCCAGTTCGTGCCTGGTTTTAAAAGCGAAATAACCCCTAGTATAGTTTTGCAAAATAATAAAATAAATTTGCGAAATAACGTAGGCCTAATATTGTGAAGTAACGCAATAGTTTTTCAATCCTCAGAGTGCAGTATTTCGCAATACTATTGCGTTATTTCACAATACTATCGTGTTATATTGCAATGCTTTTACATTACAGCCCGGTTCATACTCGGCGCGAAAGCGAAAGCAAACGCGAATTTTTGACGTCATGGCAAGTATTCGCGCTGCGAATTCGCAAAAGGTGAACAGATTTCAACTCAGGCGAATATCGCAGCCAATGTTTCATGACGTCAAATTCGCTTCGCATTCGCATTCGCATGAAGTATGAACAGGTCTTTAAAGGCTTGGCGCGAAAGCGAACGCGAATATGTGACGCCAGGGCAAGTGATGCCAGGGCAAGTTTCGCAGCGAACGCTTTATTTCTCCATACTATTACGTTATTTTGCAATAAATGTTATTGCATTTCTTTGCAATGGTACGTATTGCATAATAAACTTTTGTTATGGTTTGCAAAACTATTGCGTTATTTCGCAATACTATTGCTTCATTTTGCAATACTACTGGCGTTATTTCACAATACTGTCGCGTTATATTGCAATTATACTATCAGCGCGAAAGCAACACGAATTTGTGACGCCTGGGCAAGTTACGCCACATTGTTATTTCGGTTGTGTACTATATGAA